TTTTTTGATTACTGCTTTTCACTTTTTTTTTTGGAAGAATTTCAAAGATAAAATATATTTTGAGTTCTATCTGCTACAGAAGCTGAGATATCAATAATTTACTAGGCGTTGACACAGTTGCTGAATTTACAGAAAAACTTCAGGTTTTAGGGGTATTTTTTAAAATCGGCCATAGGTTTTTAAGGTGTTTTTTCCAGGCGTTTTAGGCCTAAATGGGTTAAATATTTTTTAAAGGTGTGTATTATCATTCTTTGGTGAGTTAAGGATAGAAATAAGTCATTTTAGAACCATCATCATTTATGGTGACCTAGATGAACATCTTAGCGCTGCTAGACGGTTACCCATAATACTTTGCGTTTTAGGGTTAGGGTTAACCTGACAGGGTTCCAGGTTTTTCCCAGACCTCTGAGATGTTCAGCTTCTAGAATGTAGAGCTTCAGCCGTTCTCTGCATCCTGGAACTTCAGCTTTTCCCAGAGGACAGTTTTCCAACATCATCAAAGTTTTCCTGAAAGCAGCTTTAATTCCAGCAAAGGTCTGCTTTTCTAACAACACTGAAAAAAAATCTAAATCAGTCATTTTTTCTTTGAGTGCATTTGTTCTTGATTTAGGAGATAAATCAGACACTTTGCAAATGGAAAAAGATAATTTACATTTAAAATAACAAACCTGTTGCATTGTCTTATTTCTTGTAATTATATCTAATTATTTTTATTTTAATCCTCATTCCATTGGCAGATTATTTTATTGACCTGCTCAGATTAAGGAGAAATGCCCTTCATTTAAGAGCTGTTGTCTTTCTGCTGTGCAGAGACTCTGAGCAGCAGGTTTCTGCAGCAGCTGGAATCAGAGGGTGGCCTCAGAGATGCCTGCTCTAAATGACAGGAAGGAGCTGCTGCTCCATCCCAGGGGCCCCTAGGGGCCCCCCACCATCAGAGGTCTCACCTTTCCGGAGGAGCGGCTCCTGCTGGGGGCCACGGGCGGCGCCTCCTCGTCGCTGGAAAAGGCGTCCGGCGCAGCGGCCGGAAGCCGCTCCTGGTTCTGGGCCGTCAGCTTGTTCAGGTAAAGCTGCACGAACACGTCCTTAGTGGGGTTCCCACCCGGAAGCTCCACGCTGTGGGCCAGCAGCTGGCTCCTCAGCTGCTCCTTGGTCAGAACCCGCGGGTCCTCCAGGAACTGCGGCATGGCGGCGTGGAGGAGACGGTCAGGATGCACTGAGCCCCGGATCAATGAGCGGGGCGGGGCATGGGGGAGGGGCCTGGGAGGGGCGGGGCATGAAAGAGAGGCGGGGCCACCCCGCCCGGCTCTAGTAGGAGGGCGGAGCAGCGCCCTCTGGTGGATCCAAAACAAAACACTGGACATAAACCAGCGCTTCCCTTTAATACTGCTTTGAATTTATTCAGTTATTATCGAAAAATAATAAATTCATTAGAATTAAAATGCGCCCTTATTTTTTTCCTATTAAAGTTTTCAGATTTCCGTAAACTTTAGCTAAACTGTGTTAATTGTGTAATTTTCTTCTTTTCCTTTAAATATTTTAACCAGACTGTTTAGTTTATATTTTTTATCGTCTTATTTTATGGGTACATATGTTCAGTTTTGGGATATATAAAAAGATAAACACAAAATATATGTTCTATATTCTGTTACACATTTTCTGGATAATCTTGGAGCAATTCTAACTGATATAGTTCTATCTGAGCACATTTTGAATCCAATCAAACATTTTTATTTAAACTTATGTGACAAAATGTATTAATAAAAAATTAACCCACATTATTCACAGGTTTATTTTCCTTTCTCTCAAATAGATTTTATTTCCTTGTTTTCTCCTCATTTCATGAACCATCAAGTCTTTAGTCTTCGTCCCTTTTTGAAATAAACTATAAACTCTGATATCTAGACGTATATACTTTAGTTAATGTTCCATATTGGTTTAGTGGTTTGGCTGGTAGAAGAATGGCTCCCAGTACCGCTCTCCCTCCACCTTTACTGGTTATTAAAGTTCTATCTCCATCTGGCAGACTAGATCTGATGATGTAGATCAACTCTGCAGTAGCAAATCCTCTTTGCTTTATCATTATCTTATGTTTTATTTTGTTTTTACTTCTCTATCTTTCTGTCCCCCATGGCTACTTATAATAATTTCACATTTTACCAGTATTTCAGTTTATCCTTCTTTGCCTGTTAAAGTCATTTGATCTATTTTGATATCATTCAAATTTTTGTTTTTCCATTTGACATGTTTTTCTAACCTTTTCTCATTTCCTTTTATATCCAAATTAGAATGGGGAGCTGTTTCCTTCAAATTAATTCAATATATAATAGAATGGCTTATTGTATTGTATTTCATTATTATATTTTATCATTATATATAAAACATTTGAAAGAAATTGTTTGAACTGTAAATTTACAGTCATTTTTACTGTTTTTTAAAGGTTGCACTTTTAAAAAAGATGAAATTGTGCAGACAGAGAAATGTCTTTTGGTTTTACACTTGTGTAAACAAAATAACGAATAAAATCTGTCTAATATGCATAAATAAATGCTGCTATTGAGAAATTACAAATACATATTCTATGAAATAAACAAATGTCAGCGTGAATTAAAATAAATAAATAAATATCAAGTATTTATATATTTACTTCCATATTATTGATTAATTTATTTATTTTGTATTTTTTAAAGATGTTTCAGACTCTTATTTTTGAATCCTGGTTTAGATTTTCAGCTCTTTTTATTCAATGTTGTTTTATATTTAAAGGGCGAAAGATGTTGTTCATGTAGATGTTCCATATGAAAGTGCTGAATATGTAGATGTTTCATATGTAGATGTTTCATATGTAGATGTTGCATTTTGCAGTTATTATTGTAATTCACCTGCAGTAAACCAGGCCCCTCCTGCTGCTGCCTCCTGTTGTCGGCTCATTTAGTTTTCTGCACATCTCACACTGCCTGTCATCGCTCCAGCTGCAGGCCCAGTCCAAATACTAACCCTCCATGAACTGAGCACATGCAGGAAGTGCACTTTACACTTTGAGTGCACAGGTCAGAGGTCACACAGGTCACAATCCTGCAAAATCTGGAGAATTCCGTCTGACTGTTTCTGCAAAATTACAGTAAAATAAAAAGATAACTGCTGCAATAAATC